CCTCGCCCTCTTACTCTATCTGCACCGTGCGAAACCTAATTTATGTGCCAACCTGTGGGTCAATATGGGCGACCGGAACAGTTTTACGAGAGAGCCCGGGTGGAAAGTGGAATCAGAGGAAGGGTAAGGAAGGGGGTGGGTAGGGTGACTAAGAGGAGTGTCCGATACTAGGAGTGGGATGTCGGGGGATACTTACTTATGGATGGCTCACCTCGACTACACGGACCGGCCCGTGTCGCCCAACAACGCGGCCAAGCCCCTCGCCCAAGCCCACCCGACCCGACCCATCGGCCGTTCCCAACTCCGTCCAATGCGTCCCCCCGGAGCCCACAAGCACGCCGCTATGGTTCCAGGCGGGCCTTCCTGCTAGGCTCGAGGTAAGAGGACCGAGAAGAGCATAAAATCGTATCCGCTTATCGACGGAGAGACAAAAAGAAATATAAAAAGAGAGCAGAGCCTGGGGAACACGTCAGGTGGGGGCGGCAAGTTCCCGTTCCTGCCCTGCTGGTGGGCCGGCGAGCACTATGGTGCACTCGTGCGAGCACGTCCGGACCAAAACAGCCTCCAGGGCAAACACATTTGTTCGTCCCACAATAACCGATACGATACGTCATGCAAACTGTGTTCATTTAATCTTGACCCCCCCCCCCCCCGCCCCCCAATGATTTGGGGCCCACGCACGTATCCGACTTTTGCTTAAAACACGCCGGAGAAGAAACGTAAATGCGATAGAGAACGAGGACGTGCGGGAAGCGAACTGCGCCGCGCGCCCGTCGGCCTACCCGCTCCCGCCCCACCTCAAGAGCGCCCCCATTCTTTAATTAATTACGAATATTAGTCGGGACCTCTCGCCCGGCCCCTTAATCTAATAGCCAATGGAGCTGCGCTGCCAACGCGGCGCACCAGCGGGCTGCGGCTACCGCCCACCCGCCTCGCAGAGAGAAATGAGAAAACTGACGCCAGGGACGGGGCGGGTGGGCGGGCGGACAGAGCGCCCGACTGTTTCTCTGCTCCCCGAAATAATAATAATTTAAAGCTATGAGCGTCTTGGCGGCGGCTCCTGTTTCATCAAGGCCACGGCCAAGGCCGTCGCAAGGCAGTTCGCTCACCCGGCGCTTGCTCTGGATGTTCTGCAGCTGCCGCTGCGTGCACTCGCCGATGCTCTGGCTGCCCCACAGCTCGATGCCCACGCGCAGGTACGCGAGGCCCATGAGCGTGATGGGCACGAAGTAAGTCACCACCATGAAGACCACGTTGTACCTGTCGGCAGCCAAGAGGGAGGTTAAAAGCAAGAACAGAACAAGCACAAAAACGTTGTTTATTTTCTCTAAACTCTACGAGAAGGGAAGTTTTGTTTATTGCAAGATTCATCTGTTGGCGCATCCTGAAGATGGAATCAAGTACTGAAGCACTAAGAAAAGGGAAAAATGTGTAACTTCTAGTCACTTTAATCGCTGAGCGAAGCTCAGTCCAAGTCGCTGAGGGGTCAGGCGTTGTCTCCGTCGTGAGTCTGTCTGTCTGTGTCTAACTCACTCAATGAACTACGAAACCGCTGCACCAATGACGAAATGCGAGTTTGTTCAAACATTGACATTTCTTGGGGCAGTTTCAAATGCATTTACTTTCAGGATTTGTTTAGTTTGAAATATCCAATAGTTTAATTTGAACTCGCGCGTAGTTTGTTGGTGTGTTGGCAGCACTGCACTCGAGTGGGCAAAGAGCGCAAACGGCACCTGCGCCACTTCAAGACTTTCTAACTATCTCACA